CGATTAGGAAGTATGTCACCATTTGTGCACCATCAGGAAGTGTGAGTGACCACGTGTGCACCATCAGGAAGTGTGTGTGACCGCGTGTGCACCATCAGGAAGTGTGAGTGACCACGTGTGCACCATCAGGAAGTGTGTGTGACCGCGTGTGAAACATCAGGAAGTGTGAGTGACCACGTGTGCACCATCAGGAAGTGTGTGTGACCGCGTGTGCACCATCAGGAAGTGTGAGTGACCACGTGTGCAACATCAGGAAGTGTGTGTGACCACATGTGCACGATCAGGAAGTGTGCATGACCACGTGCACACCATCAGGAAGTGTGACCACATGTGCAACATCAGGAAGTGTGCGTGACCATGTGTGCAACATCAGGAAGTGTGTGTGACCGCGTGTGCACCAGCAGGAAGTGTGAGTGACCACATGTGCAACATCAGGAAGTGTGAGTGACTGCGTGTACATGATCAGGAAGTATGTCACCGTGTGTGCACCATCAGGAAGTGTGAGTGACCGTGTGTGCAACATCAGAAAGTGTGTGTCACCAGCAGGAAGTGTGAGTGACCACGTGTGCACCATCAGGAAGTGTGCGTGACCATGTGTGCAACATCAGGAAGTGTGAGTGACTGCGTGTGCACCATCAGGAAGTGTGCGTGACCATGTGTGCATCATCAGGAAGTGTGAGTGACTGTGTGCACAATTAGGAAGTGTGCGTGACTGTGTGAGCACCATCAGGAAGTGTGCGTGACCATGTGTGCACCAGCAAGAAGTGTGTGTGACCGTGTGTGCACCATCAGGACGTGTGCATGACCTCGTGTGCATGATCAGGAAGTGTGCGTGACCTCGTGTGCACCAGCAGGAAGTGTGTGTGACCGTGTGTGCACCAGCAGGAAGTGTGTGTGACCGTGTGTGCAACATCAGGAAGTGTGAGTGACTGCGTGTGCACCATCAGGAAGTGTGCGTGACCATGTGTGCATCATCAGGAAGTGTGAGTGACTACGGGTGTACCATCAGGAAGTGTGCGTGACCACGTGTGCATCATCAGGAAATGTGAGTGACTGTGTGCACAATTAGGAAGTGTGCGTGACTGTGTGAGCACCATCAGGAAGTGTGTGTGACCATGTGTGCACCATCAGGAAGTGTGCGTGACCGTGTGTGCACCATCAGGACGTGTGCATGACCTCATGTGCACCAGCAGGAAGTGTGTGTGACCATGTGTGCACCATCAGGAAGTGTGTGTGACTGTGTGCGCACCATCAGGAAGTGTGCATGACCTCGTGTGCATGCTCAGGAAGTGTGCGTGACCTCATGTGCACCAGCAGGAAGTGTGTGTGACCGTGTGTGCACCATCAGGAAGTGTGTGTGACTGCGTGTGCACCATCAGGAAGTGTGCATGACCATGTGTGCAATATCAGGAAGTGTGAGTGACTACGGGTGTACCATCAGAAAGTGTGTGTGACCACGTGTGCACCATCAGGAAGTGTGAGTGACCACGTGTGCACCATTAGGAGGTGTGAGTGACCACGTGTGCACCATCAGGAAGTGTGCCTGCTTTTTAAAATGCAATCCTGAGGAGCCTGA